CTCATATAATTAGACAGCCATCAGATGAAGAAGAAAGATACCCAGGCTTCAAAGAGGGGTGAAAGGAATATTGAAGGATTGCAAGACATTTCATAATATTGATGAAGGCTTGAATATTGTTTGCAAACTGTATCCTCTATAAAATTATTCAGTGAGGGCCAAGGATTTAGCTCAGTGGTTCCGGTGCCTGCCTCACAAGTGCAAGGGCCCAAGTTCGATTCCCAGTAACGAAAAAAAAAAGAAATTATTCAGTGAAAGTCGAAGAGCACTGAATTAAGCCATGACAAATAAGTCAGAAAACTGATCCCCCTGAACCCCACCCAAGCAACATTTCATTCAGTCATCGTTATAAAATTAGCTTATAATAGTCTGGTTTCTCTTCAGATCATATAAATCACCTTTTAAAATTCGCTTATATAGTGGGGTTGGGGATGTACCTCAATGGTAGAGCAAGCACTTGCCTAGAAGGTAAGTTCTCCTGGAAAAAAATGAAAAGTAAAATAAAATCAGCTTATCCTCAATATTACAAACTGTGTTTATTGAAAAATAATAAAATAATTAAACTTTTATCACTTAGTTTCAAATTTCAAATAAGATTTCATTTAAACATTTTTTGTTGTCTTCTACTAAATTTTACCCTGATGAAGAAATTCACTTGAAATGATCTTTCCCAGTACCCGTTATTTTCAGATCAAAAACAAAATTCTTGGGCCAGGGATTTAGCTCGGTGGTTCTGCCGCCTGCCTAGCAAGCACAAGGACCCGAGTTTGATCACCCGTAAAAAAAAAAAAAAAAAAAAAAAAATTCTTTTTGCGGAGTTATATGCACATTACTTATAATCCAAAAACTTATGAGGCATGCTTGTAAATCTATTCCTTTATAAGAAGTGGGCCAGAAATTTGGTTCTTTGCCTTCTTTAAACCCAAGCCAGAGACAAAACCTAACAACAGTGAACATTACCTGAGCACTGTGCTTCTGAAACACAGCTGTGATTAAGGCATACGGCCCCTCCACCCTTCGTCTTCCCAAATCCCCCCATTCTCACGTTCTAGGAAAGAGCTTTACCCAAAGACATTTCCCCACGTGACATAGGTAAGAATCACTGTACACTTGTCTTATGACCTCGCTAAAACCCACAAGAATTGTCTGATTTACCTGAGACAGAGACACAGAGCTTTCCGCTTTTTGTCTGAAGCTGCAGACAAAGACAGATTCATACCTGCCACTCTTTGTCTTATAGATAGATGATTTAGCTGAGATTAGAACTGCTTGTCCCCCTGAAATTAGCTGGACACTAAGATAAACATTTCCTGTACAGCTACCTGAATTGCAAAGCAATCTCAAGTGTAAATCACTCACCTTTTGCTTTTCTATTCCTTCCCGTAAGACTCTAAAATACACTACCCTGCCAAGGATTTATGGATTATGCTGTCCATATGGCAATAGCCAAAAATAAATTTGATTTCCTTGTTTGTTCCTTAGTCTTTCATTCTTTCTCCTCCCCACCTCCTTTGACAAAACATAGTCCAGTCTGTGTTACAATAATCTCCAAAAGACGATAAAAGATAATATATAGTTGCCTAGCATGATTACTATTTTTGTAATGGAACAAAAGATCCAAATGCTAAAAGAGGGCCAGGGATTTAGCTCAGTGGTTCCATTGCCTGCCTTGCAAGCACAAGGACCTGAGTTCAACCCCCGGTACCAAAAACAAAACAAAACAAATGCTATGAGAATCTCATTAGGGACCAAAACTCAGTGACTTTGGAACTTTTTTTTTTAAACCCAGTTCCAGATCCTCTCTCCTCTACCCACAATATATTTACTTATGTGTGTGAGGCTGAAATGAAAGCTTCATAAACAGTGCTATAGGTGATGTGTGGAACTAATTCTGTTCTGTTTTGCTTCTTTGTAAGGCTGATGGCAATCTACTAAATAGACTACCTATCTCATTTAGTATGCACAGATTACAAACCCTAAATTCAAACAGTAGGGCAAGCTATAGCCGGGAAGAGCATTTTCCAAACTACCTATCAAACTCCTGGCAGAAACTTTCAGTACTTCACCATTGCCTCCTGAAAAAGGTGAAAATTCTCAAGGTTCTGGGAATTCTCCCATGTAGAAAATTTCCACTTACCCACCAATAATGCTCTCCTCTTCCAAATTCTTTTCTATCTAAAACTTGCTTATTCCTCAAGGATGAATGCATTTCCAATCTTCTTCAGTCACTCTAACCAAAATGAGGACTCATTCTATGTAATTTTCATAGCACATCTTTATAGGACACTAATTTAATGCTTATCTTTACATTTTTCACTAGGTGTTATCTTCGTATGAGTGCAAAGTCACAAAATAATGTGACTCTTATTCCATCATTTCCTACTGAAATTGGACAACCCTTCAGCAACCATACTTTTACTCCATGCTATCTGCAAGAAGGCACTGTGCTAAAACTCAGAGTAGGAATGGAAAGTTAAACAAGCACTAGTCTTACCCTTAGAGTCTTATAAAAGAGATAAAACAGGTAGAAAACTACACAGTAATAACATGTCTGTGTAAAATTTTTCATCTCCATGTGAAACCTTGTCTTCAAAAGCCAAAAGCAGAAGAACAAGCCTGCAAGAGCAGTATTTTAGACAAAATAAGAGAGCACCTAGCATATCACCTAGAATGTAAGCTCCACACTGCAGAAGTTCTGTCTGAGGTTAGTCTCTGTCCTCCCAGAACTCAGAACATGGGGATTCTCCAGAACTCATTACTGCACGAATGCACAAATACCTTCAGCTTATTTCCTTAGGCCGGCTCACTATGTGCACACCAAGCTCCTTAGCACATTCTAGTGTCTTTCCCACTCCGCAGCTCTTCCCACTGATCTGTCTTAATAATATTTATATTACTTTATATTAATCACTAAATCCTAAATCTAAACCTCTGAAACAGATTTTTTTTCATCATTGAGTTGATTGGTAGTTTTTAGGCATACATTACAGTTACATTCATTATTGGGATCTTGTACCTCTACATGACAGGTCTTGATTCTCATTTTTTCCCCTTGTCCCTGCCCTCCCTTCACCCCCTCCACCCTCCCCTATTTACAAAAACTTTGTTTCCATATTTTCATTTTCTCATATTTTTTTCTTTTCCCTTATTTCCTTTCCCCTACCCTTCCCACTTCCCCTATACCTTTAGCCCTTTTCTTCCTATTTCACATTCTCAATTATACCATTTGGATCTTATTTACACTTTTAGCTTTTTACACCAGAGAAACTATTCTGTATTTATACATGTATGTCTGATTTATTTCACTTAAAAGTATGGCCTCAATATGCATCCATTTTCCTATGAATGACTCTAGTTTCTCATTCTTTATGGCTGAATAGTATTCCATTTTATAGAAAACCCACATCTTTATCCAGTATCAACTGATGGGCAATTGGACTGTTTCCAAGTTTTAGCTATTACAAACTGTGCTGCTATAAACATGGGTGTGCATATATCACCGTGATATGATTCTTTTGATTCTTTTGGAAAGATACCCAGCAGAGGGATAGCTGGGTCAAATGGAACCTCTAGTCCTAGTTCTTTGAGGTATCTCCATATTGATTTCCTCAGTGGTTGCACCAGTCTGCACTCCCACCAACGATGGAGAAGGGTTCCTTTCTCCCCACAGGCCCACCAACATTTCTTATTGGTTGATTTCTTGTTAGTAGCCATTCTTTCTGGGGTGAGGTGGAATCTCAGCATTGTTTTCATCTGCATCTCTTGAATGACCAGTGATGTGGGACATTTTTTCATATATTTATTTGCTGCTTTTACTTCTTTCTCTGAGAAATGTCTGTTCATTTCAGATGCCCATTTTTGAATCAGGTCTTTATATTTGGGAGGTCTGATTTTTTTGAGTTATTTATATATTCTAGGTAATAGTCCTTTGTCTGAGGAGCAGCTGGTAAAAATTTTTACCCATACTGTAGGTTGTCTCTTAGCTCTGTTGGTGGTTTCTTTTGCAGTGCAGAAGCTTTTTAATATGATGAGATCCCAGTTGTTGATTCTTTGTGCTAGTTCCCATGCTACTGAGGATTTGTTCATAAAGTCTTTTCCTATGCCAATGTGAGACAGATATTTTTATGATGCCATATCTAAAATCCCAGAATACCCAATGGAATGCTGTTTATAAAACTTCATGCACTATAAATGAGCAGAATTGCCATTCAAGCTAATTTGTGTACAAAGATATTATCTGAGCTATTTATAAACCTCTTTGTTTTTTGTTGTTTGTTTTTGGGGATAGGTCTTGCTATGTAATTCAGGCTAGCCTTGAATTTGGCAATCCTGCCTCAGCCTTCTAAATGCTGGGATTCCAGAAATGCACATGTCCAGCTTACAAACTTCCTTGAAACTTCAGTGACAGGCAGCACAAATTAATTCAAAATAGCCAGGCACGGTAGCACCCGCCTATAACCCCAGCACTGGGAAGCTAAGACATGAGGATCACTGCGAGTTTGAGGCCAGCCTGGGCTACATAGTGAGACCCTCTCTCAAAAACAAAAGCAAACAGGCTAGGGATTTAGCTCAGAGGCACCACGCCTGTCTCACAAGTGCAAAGTCCTGAGTTTGATCTCTGGTACAAAAAAAAAGAAAGAAAAAAGAAGAAATTAATTCAGAATAGCACAAATCAGCATAGAGAAGCATTTCGAGGCAGTACTCAATATATATTTGATCACCCACCTGTAATGTTCAGGTCAGAGATATATTCATGAACTGAAAATGTATTCTGATCTTAGTTAAAGCATCACCAGGATTATGTGATATCCAAGGTATGTGATACCAAGGTATGTCTGCTGAGCAGAAGTTATAGGATGTATCCCAAAGTCAAATGGAGATAGGTTCAGGATTAGGGGTGTAACCCAGTAGGAAAGTGCTCACTTGGCTTGGCTGAGTACCCGAGTTCAACCCCCAATACCACACACACAAAAAAAAAACACAGAGAGATAATTCCCATTTTTAATATCTAGACCACCACTGCTTCCATTTCTTTGAGTTACAAAAAACTGTTTCAGTCCATTTCATTCTTCTTGAGTTTCTAAATGTAGCACTGTAGCGGCAGTATCAATCCAGAAGAGATTAATGCGACAGTCTGCTTGTATCTTTAGAGAACAGCACACAGGGTCCAGTGGAAGCAGCTATTTCCTGCCCGAATTATCTTGTTGTCCACCTGCACGCCGGGTCCTGTCTTTGAAAGCTGTCTGCTCTAATGACTCACAGGAAGTGATAGAGTGGAATTATGAGGATCTTCTTGGTAGGTAATGATCCTTCATCAAAGGTGTGTGCAGCCTCCTGACAAACAGTAGCTGTCCACACTCACTTGCCAGATGCCCCCGTCCAGGACGGGCGTGAGCTGCCATAGGAGCAGCGTGGAGACAGCAGCTACAATGCACAGAGCTGCAGGAGAGAACTGAAGCCACAGGCTGCATCCAACACAGAGTAGGACATGTTCTAAGTCACCCTGGAATTCTTTAGACTTCAGAACTTCATGCCTGTTAAGAATTCATTTAGATGTCTCTGCTGCTTTTGTCCAACAGTTTTGATGTGACCGATAGGCCTAAAATGTTTCCTACCTGGAGAGACCAGGTGGAGGGGTCACTGGAAAATAGCAGTGAGAATATATGTGTGAGAGGAAAGAGGAAAGGTTCAGAATCCCACCCCTGCTGTTTATTCACTTAAGTAAATTACATTCATTTATAAATTAGTAAAGACAATAAATTACCTACACAGAACTGAGAGAGGATAAAATTAAATGGAACAATAGTATGTAAAACACAAAACTACCAGTGTAGCTGGGCACAGCCCTGCACACCTGTGATCTCAGCACTCAGGAGGCTGAAACAGGAGAATTGCCATGAGGCCAACATGAACTACACAGTGAGAGCCTGTCTCAAACAAAACAAAACAAAACAGACAAAACACCCCCACTCGTTGTAAACATTTCTTTATTGTTTTGTTGTTCTTATTCGGATAGTCCGGTTTATGTTGTAATCTGTTATTCACGGGCTGCGGTTGTCTCTGACTCTGTCTTTCTAAGAGCCTGATGTAGTTAGGGTGTCTGCCACCCTGGGTTCAGCTATTTGCTTTTGTCAACCAAATATTCTTTCCTTTTTGGCATTTGTCCTGTACACATTTATTTAACTTGTTTAGAGTTTGTTGAAACAAACTGCATTTCGATGGTGCTTTATAAATTATTTTTGGTTTTGTTTTTGTTGGCTTGTTTTTGTTTTTATTTTTTGCCTTTTGTTTTGTTTGGTATGTGTGTCACCAAACGTCACTTCAGAGTAAATAGTATTTATTGAGTTCTTGCTACCCAACAGTGGTGAACATCGCAGCAGTTCCAAAGAAGAAAAGACACACCCCTGGTTGTGCAAAGATTTGCCAAGTAGCAAAAAGTAAGAATTTGGCTTTTGTTCCAGGTATACTCATAAATTCTAGAATCTGGGTGGTTGCATCTTTAAAACAGTGACAAGGTGAAACAACACTGAAAGAACAGCAGTGTTACACCACGATCACAACTCCGCCCGGCCATCCTTGCAGACGACAAGTTCCCCATAGTGACTCACTACACCTCTGCTCACCGCGCATAGCCGTTAACTGATGGGTTCCCTGCCCTCACCACGGCCTTTTAAATATTCATGAGCCAGAAGCCCTGCACATTCCATTGAACACTTCCAGTTCTGACCTGAGATCCGGAGCCCCGCTGAGCTCTTAGGAGGACAGGTTTTACCCCACTTGTGCCGAATCACATTAGCCTCCCCACTTAACAGCATCCTGACTGTGATGAGCACTGAGCCAGGGGAGAAGCACATTTTTATACACTAATCAGTCTCTGGCGGAAGAGAACTGAAGGATGCACCAAAGCACACCAGCTATCCACTATTAATTCAGACTTTGCTGGCTTCTAAGCAAGATGCAGTTAAAGAAATCTTACCAAGTGTTTATAATCACAATTGTTTCTGGTTAGTGAGATAGTCACTATAATGATTCCATTAATGTCTATTTTTTTAATCAAGAAAATTGGTGGTTTCAAAAATGAAATTGAAAAAAAATGAATTGAGCCTAATTAGCCTATGCATACTTCTGGAAAGAAATAGATCTTTAACTGTTTTGAAGGAAAATGGACATTCATACAGTTAGGAGCATAAGCAGACAGTTTAAAAGTTAAAGGCAAAATATAGAAGGTCACATACAGTGAGCAGACCAACTCTGCGAGAGCAGGGAGGCTCTACTACAGACAGTTCTGATACTGCTGTAAAACTAGAAGCAATATTATAAATGTAGCTTTAGTTCCACCACTATTTTGTAAGCACCAGGCTTCTGCCGTGTGGCAGGAGAAATAAGTGGAGAAAGTGAAAACAGGAAATGATTAGCCCAGCATGGCGGTGCTCAGGGTAAGGCAAGGGGCAGGGGGGTTGGCCTCCCCTCTCAGGGAGACCAGATGACAAGGACAATCCATGGAAGGGGCACAAGCAGCTGAAAGACTGACAGATTCTATCACAGAAGTCAGACCAAGTGGGTGGAAGACGAGAGGGAAGAAGACCAGACGTTATATCAGGACTTCTGACTATCCCAACAAGCAATGGGACAACAGTTAATGATTAAAGCAGGGGAGGGATGTGATTTTATAAATACGTTCAGGTATCCTTGCATAAAGATAGACACAGGCTGGCAATCCACATTTGTTTACTATCGCAACATCCTTTTTGAGAGGAAAAAGTGCCTTCCCACACCAGGGAAAAAATGTAAAATAATATGGAGAATGAATGTTACAAAGAAAATCCAAACAATAAAGGTTTCGCTTGAAAAACAAAAACAAAATCCAAACATCAATGACATTATTTTGAACTGAGAGCTTTTTTACCTTGAAGTTGTGTTTGTAATTTCGTGTGATGGAGCATAAATGTCCTTTGGTACCAGAGAAATTCAGCACTAGGATAAGTGTAACTAAAGCAGCACCATCTGAGAGAATGCAGATGAAGATTGCATTCGTTTCCAGTTCTCCAGTAATTAGAAGCAGGCTCACAGTTTGGTCAGCCCAGGCTATTTCTGTCCTGTGTGGGTGAACTGCTTGGCACACAGAGCTTATACTGTACCTCACAGTCTGGTGGGTGCCAAGGACACAGGCATCAAGGGCTCCAGTTGAACTGTTGGGAGCGACACGCCAAGGTGTCCGGATCCCGAACTGGAAGCCTCTGTATTCACTTCACGGAAGAGAGGAAAATTCCTAATAGCAAAAGACTAAATTGTAATTGCTGGCCAATTAGCAGATTCTCTACTATTATGCCTATTTTTAAGATGAGTTTCTGCAGTTTTTTCAGTTTTAATTGGACACGATGAGCTTTCTGTCTTTATGAACAAAACTGTCCAAAGTGAAGTAAGGCGTGCCCATAAATGTGACTAAGATCATCCCATCTTGTTCTCCAGCCTAAATGAAAGCCAGGGACTTAACTGGAATGAGACAGGGCCACAGCTGGTTACTTCTGCAGACAAGTTTCGAATTTGTCTTACATGAAATCAAAGCAGCCTCTCTATATCAAGACTCCTAACACACCTGTTTAGAGAGATAAGGGAATTAATAAAGTTATACTTTAAAAGGATTATAACCCACTGAATAACAGGTTGCTAAAGGAAAGGATACAGAAAATTTTGAAAGCTGATAATAGGTTAGTTTCTCCATATCTTTCTAGGAAGCGATTGCAACAACCAGCCAGTGAATCCAAGAAAAACAACTTTTCCCTGTTGCTCCCAGGTGTGACCTCTGTGGAACTAATTCCCCACCAGGCACCATGCTGCACCCTGGGGACACCAGAGCTTTGTCCCTTTTCCCAATGACCTGTGAGAAAAGCAAGGAGCTCTACCACTAATCCTTTAATTATATTTCAAATGTGGATCGCTTCTCCACCTTCTCAAAGTCTGGAAATGAAGCAGGGACCTGGGCCAGGTGTGTCCTGCAGAACATGGTACAACAATGCATCTACCAGCGGGAAGCTCGAGTCTCGAATCTCAGAACAGAGAAACTGTGCAAGGATCAGTAGCTCTATAATAAGGAAGAACAGAATGAAAAACTACAAAGGCATCAATAACTGCAGGCAACTTGTTATATATTTCACTCATATAATACTATCTTTGAAATTTCAGAAAATGTGTGCTAAATGCTAAGATTCTAAAAACTAACCAAAATAGACAAACCTAAAACTACAGTAGGATACCACTCCACACCTACTGAAATAACTAAAATTTAAATACACATGTACCAGCTGAACTTGGTGGTGCATGCCTGTAATCCCAGCCTTCTGAGAAGCTGAGGCAGGATGATTCCAAGTTCAAGTCCCACCTGAACAACTTAGTGCCTTGAGACCCTACTTCAAAATAAAAAATTTAAAAGGGGGCAGGGAGGTAGTTCAGTGCAAAGGCCCTGGGTTTGCTCCTCAGTACCAAAAATACTTACATGCAAATTGACAGACATACACACACACATAAACACACACAATCCGAAGAGGCAGAGCAGCTGGAACTTTCATATGCAGTGGGCAGTGAGAATGGTACAGTCACTCTGAAAAGTAGCTTGGAATTCCTTACAAAAGTGAAATGTATCCTCACCATACGACCAAGCAATCTCAGTATTAATATTCACACAAAATGTACACACAAGTGTTTATACCACTATTCATAATGGCTAAAGACTGCAAACCACCCAAATACCTCATAGTAGGTAAACAGATGAACAGAGTAAGGTACATCCATGCAACAGAACAAAAAAGGAACAAATGATGGATGCCTACAACAGTACAAGTGTCTCAGAAAACCCTCACAGTGCAGCTGCCTTACGTGCGTTAGGCTGTCTCTCCCTAGATGTGTACAGCTCTCCCCAGCTCCTCCAGACGCTGCCAGATGCCAGGGTGGAGTTTTTGCCACTTAAGGACACCATGCTAAATGAAAGACACCAGGACACAAAAGATTATAATCCGGATGATTCCATTTGCGTGACAGTCTGGAAAAGAAAAGACTAGAGAGATGAAAAACAGAACAACGGTCGCCAAGCAAAAAGCGTAGGAAGAAAGCTCAAGTACAAAACAGCACAAGAGAATTTTGGTTTCTTTTTCTTTTCTTTCTTTTTGTTTTTGTACCAGGGATTGAACTTGGGACTTTGCGGCAGCACCACTGAGCTAAATCCTCAGCCCTACAAGACAATTTTGGACCAGAGGTTGACGCTGCCTTGGAGCTGATAATGGCTGCTGTCTACATGTTTGTCAAAAGTCATGGACCTAGCCAGACATGATGGTGTACACTGGTAGTCCTGCTACTTCGGGATGCTTAGTAAGGAGAATTACAAGTTCGAGGTCATCCTGGACAATACAGCAAGAGCCCAACTCAAAGTAAATTAAAAAGAGCTGGGGATAGGGCCCCACCATAGAGCCACGTGCCTCACAGACCCAAGGCCCTGGGTTTAATCTTTAGTTTAAAAAAAAAGAATCATGGACGTGACCACCTAAAAGTTCATTTTACCCTATGTAAATTTTAAAAACACTACTTTATCTCTAAAGCAATATAAAATAAATATTATAATTGAGATCTGTAAACTTAAAAAGAATGCTATCTAATTCAGCATTTGATGGTAAAGTTCTGAATTCTCATAGAAGTTTTAAAGAAAGTGACACAGAAATGACAATAAAATATATAAGCAGTACCACAACACTTAACAAGTCCTTTATCTTTGAATAAGTATGGATATCTGTATATACAGGATAATTTTTAAAGACATTATTATAGATTTCTTATAATCATTTCAATTAAATGAATTTATTTAATATCATATATATATTTTTTGTTGTTGTTGTTGTTTGTTTTTTGGTTTTTTTTTTTTTTTGAGACAGGGTCTCACTATGTAGTTGAGACTGACCTGGAACTCACTGTGTAGCCCAGGCTGGTCTTGAACTCACAGCAATCCTCCTGCCTCAGCCTCCCGATGCTGGGATTACAGGCATGCACCACCACACCCGGCTTAATATCTTATTTTTAAAGGTAAAATCTTCTACCAATATGGAAAACAATATGTTTATATTTTGTAGAAAAAAGATAACTTCTTGCTAAAGTAACAGTTTTTACCTATACATTTCACTCCATTTCTTCCCCATGGCTATTTCTACAGAAAAGCCTCAGGAAATGAAAAAGACACATGTCGTTTTTTCTTTCTAACATAAAAGTTTTAAAATTAACTCTAAAAGTACAGCTTTAGTAACCTGGAAATGACAAGGATTCCAGGCATTATTCCCCTCACCAGGGCACAATAAATCCCCTGGCTCACCCTCCCTTCACTGAAAAACAAAATAAGAATGGTGGCCCTAAAAAGTAAAAATTAAAGCAGAGCTAACGATGAAGAAAGTTGGTGACGGGAGCCCAGCTGGGAAATGAGACTAATAGTGCAGAAGTTGCAACAACATGGAGACTTTCTCACCACTCCCCGGGGAGAGGTAAATATATGGCCAGAGGACAAAAGACATTCCAAGCCGACTGCCAAGACCACCCACCCTTCAGTCACAGACCGCACCAGGGCTCACCCTCCGCCCAAACTCCTAAACTAACAGCAGCTTAATTTCTGATTGAGACTGTAGCTGCCATTAGTTCTTGATATTAGAATTTGCCACAAATCTAGATAAAGTGCTTTTAATGCAGAAAAGGCCATTTGATGACCATAAAAAAACTTTTTAAATAAAACAGGACACCCACAAACAGGTGGAATTCCATAACACCATAATAAATTTCATATGAATAGGAATCCAACAATAAGTAGAAGAAGATGGTTTGTTGACTGGGATTTAAGAGAAGACAAAAGACACTGGGAGGGGTAAGGTACACAGATGTATGTGTTGAGATGCAAATAAGAAAAGCTCACCTTGGAAAGTCTGCATGCTAAGTATGCACCTGGGAATCAGAATAAAATCAGTATGGGACATCGCTTGGGGATGCACCAGATGGGTGGGCTCGCTGGGGTGACAGAGAAATAAAGTCCTCTGGGAACCTTTGTGTTTGGACAAGCAGAGATTAGCAGCTATGCCCAAAAGGAAATAATCTGAGCTGTCACCCGCTGCTCCTGAAGGTTTCATTTGTTGGGTTCTTGGTTTTTGTGGATTTTATTTGGCTTGGTTTGATTTGGACTCCCTCAGTAGTACAAATGGGCTTTTTGTAGTTGACACATAAGTCATACATATTTATGGAGTACAGAATGAGAATTTAATGCATGTACACAGTGTGATCAAATCAAGATAATGAGAATTTCCATCTCCTCAATTTTTTTTGAGACAGGGTCTCACTTTGTAGTTCAGGCTGTCCCGAACTCCCGGCAATCCTCCTGCCTCTGCCTCCCAAGTGCTGGGATTACAGGTGTAAACCACCACACCAGCTGTCTCCTCAAATATTATTTCCATGTGTTACAAAGCTTAAGAATCTTCCTTTCTAGTTATTCTGAAATATGTCATATATTGTTATATACTATTGTTACCCTACCAGTTGCTAGAACACCAGAAATAACTCATCCTATCCAAATGTATTTCCACATCCCTTTTCTAACTTCTTTCTGTGTCTTTCCCCCCAAACTTTTTCAATATGTAGTGAGCACTATTTCATTTTCTTCTACTAGATCAAGTTTTTAGTTTCCACAAATGAATGAGAACATTCAGTATTCATCTTTCTGTGCCTGGCTTACTTTAATATGATGATGTCCAATTCTGTCCACTTTAAAGCAAATGACAAGATTTCATTAATTTTATGACTGAGTAGTCGTCCATTGTGGGCCAGGGATGTAGCTCAGTGGTGCCGCACCAGCCTGCAAGAGCAAGGTCCTGAGTTCGATCCTGGTACCAGAAAAAAAAAAAGTCCATTGTGTATACAACACATTTTCTTTATACCTTCATCTGTTGAAAGATATTGGTTGATTCCATATCTTAACTATTGTGAATAACACTGCAATACACAGGTCTCTCTTTGCTATAGTATTTTTTTATTTCCTTTGGATATATATCCACTCATGGAATTGCTGGATCATATGTTAGTTCTGTTTTTAGTTTTTTAAGGTACTATAAAATGTTTTCTGTAATGGTTGTATGAGGCTGTGTCATGTTGTGCTGTGTGTGCTGGGGACTGAACCCAGAGTCTCATGTGTGCTAGGCAAGCACTGTACCACTGCGCTACATGGCCAGCCCAGTCATGTCGCTAATTAACATTCCCGCCAGCAGCATGCAAGAGTTCTGCTGTCATCCCATCATCACATCTTCTCCAGAATTTGTTACAATTTTTTTTCTTTTTTATAATAACTTTTCTAACTGGAGTAAAATGATACCTCATTGGGTTTTGACTTGCATTTTCCCAGTGATTAATCATTTTAAAGATTTTCTCATGTATTTTTTGGCTATTTGTATTTCTTCTTTTAAGAGTTTTCTACTCAAATTACTGTCCCTTTTTAATTGATTATTTTTATTTCTATTGAGTTATTTGAGTGCCTTATATATCCTAAACGCGTAATTTCTTATTTGATG